TCTGATTAAAGTTTATGACTTTGTTATGGATAGGGGAATTTACATAACTGGAAGTAGTTTGATAACAGGTTCATCGTCAATATCATCAGGAGTTGGACTTCTCACATGCCGCCGATGGTTTAGTTTTCGCGAACCAGAATTGTCTCATCTCTGTCGTTGCGGGTTTTGCTGGTTGAATCATCGCATTGGAACATATCCTCACGCTCGTTGTTTGGTCCAATATTGAAAGAGTTGTTCACATCATTAGCTACCATCTGTTTTTTTTTACTTTGACTAAAGAAAAGCGTCAAAATGCGTTAGTAACAAATGAATGGAACAAAATAATAACACAATTGTCTATGCCCCATGTGGGCGATAAATTTATAGACACATGAGTTAATTGGAACCAAAAATTTAAAATAACTAAGAACAGAAATAAATTAATTAAATAAACTTGAAAAAAATACAAGTCTAACTCTGAGATGAGCTTCTCTGGAAGTAAGAATAAGAACAATATGTAGAACATAAAGAAAAAATGTAGTTAATAAAATCAATAGCCTTTTAGCGTACAGATGTTTTCGTGTCCTACAATGAATACTAATTCTTTTATTTATAGTTTAATTGAGGGAGACAAGATCCCCAAATCAAGCTCTTCTTTAATATGAGTAAAACTCCTCTTGATAGCTACATAATGATTGAGTATTAATGCAAAGATTCTTTGTAACGACTATTCATTGAATGTTGTCTTTTTCAATCGATATATCTTCCTTTCAGATCTTCGTCTCCGATTTCGGTGCCTTCGAAACTTATTCAGCACCGGTCACATTTTCATAACCGTTAACAGCTATTTGCTGACTCATATCTTACTTTTCTTTACTTGCACATGTCAACTCATCGAGCATCTATCTGTCGTTCATTAATTTTACCCCGTACAATTACATAGTATCTTATCTGTCAAATAGTTTCGAGGGGAGGCCAAGAAAACGGGAATAATTGCTTTTGTCAAGCAGCTAGCCTATAACTGCCTTGTTCGTGGACATACAATTAATGGAATTATTTTATTTTTTGTTTCACATTTATCTTTATCAATGGGTTAATACTGCAACGTGTCGATGTCATGATTCTAATGTTTTGTATATATCCAAAATCAATTTGCATGGGAAAAAGATAGTTTGAATCTCATATGGGGTCAGCATAAGAAATTAAAATACAACTATTCATTAACGTATTAAGCATCGCCAGCATCGGTTTAAGGGTCAACAGCAAGGATATTTGTCTTCATAATGGGAAACAGGTTGATTCGAATTCATATCGTAGCATTAACATAATAATTAATTATTCCAGTAGGTTTGGAGTAGCTGATGATTGATTTTGAGCTTTTGAAGTAATAGGGCTTTGTAGTTTCAGTTCTTAGGCCTTAGCAGCAAACATGGACCATATACCACAAATTCAGAGACGGAGTCCACCTCTATTGGTCAGGACTAGGGTTGCTCGTAGTTCAGTTTGGATCGGTTTCTTTCGGAAAAAAATCAAATCAAGTAAGTCGGTTTTTAAATATTAGAATCAAACTAAACCAATTAAGTCGGTTTTTTATCGATTCGGTTTGATTCGATTTTGTCGGTTTTTCGCTTTATTCGGTTATTCATCGGGTTTTTTCTTAAATATGAAACATATACTACCAAACGCATATTCCGGTGACTATATTTTCAAGGTAACATTATCAAATCAATTGCTCTTTGAGAAATCTATCATTTACCGAGATATATTGATGATAATTGAATCAAATAGTGATGAATAATTAAGGTACTCAATTAAAAATTGACTATTTTTAACATGAAATAAATTCTTGTACTTAGCAAAAGAAAACTAACAATCAAACTAGAATGTAAAGGCAAAAAATTAGATTATTATAATAGCAAAAAACTAGACAAAAAATATAAATGACTAGTATGTACCATAAAATTTTAGAAATTTTATATAAAAATATACATATATATATATATATATATGTGTAATAATAAATTTAAATAGCAACTTTTATAGTCGGTTTGGTTCGAACTTTTCAGTTATTTTTTTATTAAAATCAAAACCAAATCAAATTTGATCGATTTTTAAAATTCAAAACAAAAAACAAACCAAATCTAAAAAGTAACATTTTTTTTAGTCTGGTTCGATTTTTCAATTTTTTACTAACACTCCTAGTCAGGACATCTCCTTCCTGTCTTTATCGGTACAGTACTATTTTTGGAAGATACATCTCCCCTTTACTCCAGGGCATGTTAGTGTCAAGTTTCCACGAATTCTTTAACCACCATCTTTCATTTGACAATAATAAGTATCGTTCTTTGTTTAAAAATAAAAATAAAAACAAGGACCAAGATTTGAAATGCAACAATAGTACGTACATGTCACAACAAAGACAGCGAGATGCCACCCAAGAATATTTAAGCTTGCAAGATGGTCCTTGCTGATTCGCACATGATTTTACGATGCCCTATATTACTCGGGTCAGAGCTTAAGTTAGTGATACTTATGGACTATGACTACTGAACTTTCTCCATCTAGGATATAGCATTCGAGCTATTTCGCCTCGCAACACAATTTGAAAGGTTGTACTATTCGAAAATCTCTGGATCTATACTTAATTTCAATTCCCCGAAACATCTCGCTGATTACCACGCATTCCTCATCTCTGGGTGTCTAGGTATTTGGATGGATGCAGTACCTGAGCGCAATTGTGCAATTCCGAATTGATTTTGAGCTCCTAAATGCGTATCAAAATAGAAAAAATATATGGTAGAAGGGCCAAATATCTCTCTTTACTTTAGGATATTGTCTGCATTTAACTTCCGTTATATTATTCGTCCAAATTTACTTCTATCGTTATACTATCTGGCTAAATTTACCCATACCATCAACAAACTTTTAAAAATTACTCTTCAGTCCGTCATGTGACCCAGAATCTCCCAAGTCATTTAAATTAAATCAGTTATTCTTCTTCTTAATCCACTATTTTCGAAATAATTGGCATTTACCTGCTTTTTTAATGAGGGAAAAAGTAAGAGAAAGAAATATTAAAATTAATACAACGGTTTGTAAACAAAATATAGTAAATTGAAGAATCTTAATTAGGTAGCTTGTCTAAATTCTAAAAATATTTACAACACTCCAACTTTAATGAATTTGTTGCCCAAAGGTATAGAGACTTTGCAAGTATTAGTGAAAAATTAAAGTTCCTTAAAAACTTTACATTGTCGAATTCAACTTTGCTTTAATCGAATGCTTACGCATTGTGTTCTCTTAAGTTAGTTAATCGAACTTTACACTAACCAGACAATAACAAAATACATTCAAATATACATGCACATACATGATGAGCAAATTGCATATAATACATAATATTTAGACTCACTGAATTATACGGTGTGTATATGGTTAATAAATAAATAAATTTTAAACCAATTCCAAACACATTATCACAAGAAGAGAAGTGGGTGCATTGGTAATTAAAAATTTCCATGAATAATTTGTATAGTTTAGTACATCAATAGTAATTTCTGAAAATAGTGGACCAAGAAGAACAACAAATGATTTAAATAAAAGAAATTTGGAAGATTTTGGATTACTTAACAAATCAAGGGGTATTTTTAAAAGTTTGCTGATTGTAGGGGTATATTTGGTCCGATAGTATAACGGTAGGGGTAAATTTGGTCCGATAGTATAACAAAGGTTAAATGCAGACAATATATGAAAGTAGAAGGTGTATTTGGTCCTTTTCCCTTTTTAAAACTATCTCAAAAAATATTTATAATATCTTTACAATAAAAGTTCAACTTTCAAATAATACACCACCCAGAAAACTACCAACTATGTCCATTTATAAGTAGCTTATTACAAATTTTGGCCAATTCATTAAATATTAATAATATTAGCTAATTAGCTATTTGTAGCCAAAAAAGGTTACATTTTTGCTTCTTTTTTTTGAAAGTGTTACTAGAATAGATTGGGTACATCTTAAGGAGTTTGAATCTCAATTTTGAGATGATTTGACAGAGTTTTTGAGGTGGTTTGAATTGAAAATTCGAAGTAGAAGATGAAACATGAAAAAAATAATTTGTGTATCACATATGTATCATATATGTATCAAATGTGTATCACATGTATATCCGTGTATACATGTGTGTGTGATACATGTGTCGCAGAAGAATTTTTGAACTCGATTTTAACTATGAATTTTGATACCAAATCACCTTCAATCTTACTCAAAATTTGTATATTGAATCGTCTATATGTTTTCAGTGAATTTCAACCATACCCATTGAAAAATGTCATTTTTTGCTTAGATTTTAGAAATCTTATATATNGTGATTCTTGGAGAGAAAGAACATTATTTATTTGATTTTTCAATTTTTATATGTGCTTGGCTAGTTTTGATTAATAGTTAGAGATTGATAAGTTAAAACTTATTTGGAATATTTACCTGAGATTCCAAAAAAGTAACGCCAGTTATATTTTGGATTCTGCTAGACCCTAACGTTTACACTTGTTTTAAGAGCGATTAAAGTATAGTTGATTGATTTATTTTATTGATTAAATAAGAAAGGCAAAAAGAACAATTTATCAATTATGAAATTTCACTTTAACACGTGTAAAATGAATGACGACAATTGATTAATTTTATGTGGACCTATTTAGTGAAATACCAGATCTAGTTTAGACAAAATGACTAGATAATGCCATGACATGCAGAAAATGGACCTAAGGATATTGTTTGTCATTTTGCAGTAATTGAGTTCACCTTGATAAATTCCAGGTATCATGCAGATTGATAACAAAGTGGTCAAAAAAAATTCTGCATTTGGTTGATCGAAGCTTACACCTTCGCACCTGTAATAGCATTTGATAGATGAAACTTATATGTTTCTTAGTTTAGAAGTCTATCAAACGTAGCGAGCAATACCTTAAAAGCAGTTTCTCATAGTACAATCTGACGACACTTCCACATTGTATGATGTGGTTTTCAACCTCTAATTTGAGAATTAGTTCCTGCTCTACGCATGAAGATGAAACTAATTTTTTGTTTCAACTTACAGTTGATGACGAGTGAGGTTTGTTATAATGGTATCCAATCGATAGGTGTGGAAGATATTGCTTTGATACAACTCTGTTGCTTACACGAAGTTGTAGTCAAAATCTAAGGGAAACCAGTCAAGAGGAAACTTGCAGCTTTCTATACTTCTGTTGTCCCTCACACCAGCATGGCTACAGGTACCTAATCAATATGAGGACCGTAGGGCTACTAAGTTCATCTCCAAGAAGTAAAGATGCGGTGAGCCCAACTGCATTTTTGGAAGTCAAAACTAGATGCTTCATCAAGAAGTTGAAATGCTTCTGACGGAAAATCCTCGAATAGCACCAGTATTAGCAGCTTGGAAGCCTGAGTGGTAAAAGCCTGCTCTCTGTAGTTGTTTTTGTGCTGCCAAATAGCTTACAGCCTTTCTTTACCTTCTAACAAGGAGCTTTCAGAGTCAACAGTCATCTATATCTTGTGAACACTGTAACCGGCATCCTCCGATGTCAAGTTCTCCCTCCAGTTCTCAAATTCAGATTCACCAAATACTAATTGCTTGATACCAACGTAGCTGTTCAGAAGATATTACCGGGGTGAGTCCATGGCTGCAAACTGCTAGTAACATGTGGAAAACAAACGGCAAGAATACAACAAAAACATTCTGCCTGAAAAGCACAACTTAGAAATCCTATTTAATGTGATGCTTTGCGACTAACACATTTAATTGAGATGAAAAAGAAGGTGGCGTTTGCCAATAATGGTCTGCAGAGGCTAGGATTTAGGTTCCAGGCATACTCATCTTGATCTAAAAATTGTTTGCATGTTGGGAGAAAGAGAAACCAAATAGAGAGTCTACTTCAGAATGAAGAAGGAACTGAAGCTTACTCGGAGCTTATCTGTGTCAAAGCATTAATCAGTACATCCAACAGTAAATGCTCACTTGTCCCAATGTCCACCCTATCATAAGAAAAAAGTCAATTTGTAAGCAACAAGCACCATTTCATATCTAAGGATAACTAATTCAACAAAATAACCTTTACCATATGCGAGCCAAGTTATCCTGAATCTCAAGATCCCCAATGTTATAGAACGTAGTAGGATTTACATTTGCCCCCTGAACAGCATCATAACTTGGCCTTTTGTCCAAAGGAGATTGTGATAACTGCCATGAAGAAACTTAGTTGGTTGAGCCTAAAATATAAGACACCTCTGACCCTGTGAAAGGCTATTGTTTGAGCTTCATCAAGTAAACATATTACTACCATTTTAGATTGATAGATTATTTCTTTTCGTTTCCAACCTCTAAAATAAGCACATTAAAAGTACATAATTTGCGGAACTTACTTGCATATTCAGCGAATTGCATCCACCAAGACGTCCAACAATGTGCCATGAACGAATTGTCTGCAACAAAGTTATGAAAACTAAGTCCATAAAATACATAAGCAAATGTATCAAGAATCATGAAGCATAAATTACTTACATCACAAATCAAGGAGATATCCTTCTCCAACGGGGCATTGTAGAACTCAAACCATATGTAGGAGTTTGTAAAATCAAATCTGAATCAGAAGTAAGCAAAATTTGTTATGAAAAAATCACTCCTGAAAGGATCTGCCAGCAAATCTCAGATCTAGCAAGGCACTCTTTCAATTGCATGCAGAATATTTGTCAGATAATTATCCTTCAGTCAAGATTGTCGGAAAATGTAACTGTAATGAGATACAACCAAAGGACTAGAATTGTACTACTACGCTAAAACTAACACTTTCTGTTCAATTGCTGACATAAAGGTGCTTCAGAGAAAGGTGGAATCCAGAAGAAGAAGTTGTGCTCGTTGCGGGGTAAGTCATCACCAGGCATGTTCGCCCAAAAACAGAGAAAGCATCGAGCATTTTCACTCAAGAAAAGGTTCAATCCCCTATCCTTCTAAATATAATCAAGCATACAAGTCAAGAGGGAAAGGAGTTGAATAAAAAGAAAAGACGACTTTTGATTTCTCTCAAACAGGCACTTCTTTTATCCTTCCTAACAAAACTTTTAATATTAGGCATTTCAGGGTTATATTAGCAATGGGGTGTTCTAGTCTATAGCCATCTATTGTTGAACTAGAAATCCTTCTCTGACAATTTAATTGGAATGGAACTGACAGCAGTTCTAAAGAAAGTCACGCACATCGAGATCGAGTGAAGGGCTAATATCAAATTTACTGAATTACTCGATACTTGCGCTGGTGGGAGGTACCCCTGGAATTAGTCGAGGTGCGTGCAAGTTGGCCCCGACACCGCGGTTATAAAGAAAAAGTATTATACAAAAGGCAAAGATGAATATAATTTTGGTACTTTCTTGTTATTTGGATTATTTCTTGTTATGTACATTGTGACCTATAAAATGATCAAATATGTCCTTTGCAGACATTAATGTGTTCTGACAATATATATAGATTATGAAACGATTCAAGATATGTCTTCAGATAACAATTACAACCCGTTTTTGCTCAACGGATACAAAACACGCATGCTTTAGCACCTGGTGCAACAACAAGCAGAATACCACTTGTAAATAATCCAAGAAGCATGACATATATAATAACTACTAAAGGTAGTAAGAACAACAACAACTAATTCATCAACTAATTCCCCCAAAGTCAAAAACTAAGATTATATATTAGTATCAGTTGTTTCATTTACGTTTAATTTTTATTCAGTGTGAATCCGCTCATGCCCAATCCTGATGAGCGGGTCCATGCTAGACTAGATGCATCAGCATACGTGTTTCACCAACTTGAGGTTAGTAGATAAAATAAAACCCCAGTCAATGGAATTAAAAAGCAATTGTATGAAGAACAAGGAAATCTCACGGATTTGTTTAGCTTTAGAGTGGAACTCAGTGAGAAAGGTAATATTGCTAATTCTATCAGACATACCAAAAGGATGCAATTAATGATTGTTAGATTCATCAAGTAATATGTTTTCTCAACATGGTTAGTCTACTCTCGTGCATGAGTCTAAACTTACTTGTTGAATGTCACATTCATGGGTGTTGCTGAACCTGTCTTCGTATGTACTATTTTATTCCTTTTCTTTCTCAATCTCTCCTCCATCTGATAACAAAGTAAATACAGTTAATTAGCAAAAATATTAAATTAGAAGTAGACAGAGCAAACTACGAGCAACTAGACAAGTAGACATTTGTTTCACTTCACTGATGTCCAATCTACCTCTGACACAGATGTTCAAACCAACAAAAAATTTCAATTCTAACTCATACCCAATTGAAAAAAGCCACAAACATGAAATACAGAAGACAAGTGTAACAAAAACCATAACCTGCATAACTATATCAAAATAATTAAATTAGTTTGCACTTCCTTTCAAGAGAAATTAACTAATTGAATACAAAATTATTAGGAAGAAACAATCGGGCAATCTTTTTAATTTTTTATGATGATAGTATTCGGTCCAGCTTGCACGCATCTCACTATTTTACTGGGTGTCTGCTACCTCCCACCAGCACAGATACCAGATAACTCTGCCCACCAAGGCCTGGGCAGATGAGAAGAAATCGCCTAGTGCTTTATTGTCTCTGCTGAGATTCAATGGATTTGAACCTCAAACCTTATGATCGGCAATAATTAAGATGATTTGTACCAAAGACAAAGGAAACAAAAACAAAGAACCACAAATTAATTCACAAAGCATATGAGCCAGCAAAAAAACTGACCCTTGACTGAGCTTTATCCGGATCATCAAGACAGCTGCCAAGAATCTCAGCAAGCTCAGGATCTTTGTCATAATTCTTCTCATCTTCTCTACCTCTAAACCCTCTACTACGAGAAAATCCCTCCGCCTCCTCCTCCCCCTCCTCCATTTCCACATCAATATAATCGCCATCATCGTTGTTTTCTTCAAATGTGGTCAGCAAAGTTTTTTCCCTTTGGCAGTTCATTAGCGTCCTCATACATGAACTTTGCTTGGGATGAAAAATTAGAAATGAGTCGCAGTGACTAAACTGGGGTGAAAAAACTTTGCTATGTGAAGTCCGAGGTAGTTGGAAAAAATATGCACTGTGCTGCAACATAAACATCTACAAACAGAATTTTGATTATAAACAGCTAAAAATAAAAAGTAAGAACATATTAACTTATGAATGTATATACAACAAATAAGAACACATATTAACTAAAATTAGTTATTACCACTAAAAATCATCGCAAAAAGGATAAGGGTTTTGGCCTACCTAGTAATATACAGGAAGTAAATTAGGTACGGAGAGAAAAAGCAGAAACATACACTTTGATGCGTAAGGGAAAAAGAAGCCGAAGAGCTCGCTGCAGAAAGAGATAGGAGGAGCAAACTAGCGCAGAGGTTGGACTAGAACATAGCCTGGAATTTGCCGATTCCTTTGTTTTTCGTCCGGCTAGTAGAAGGTAGTTGGGCTTGGGCCAAGTTCCTTCTGATCAAGTGGTCCAAAATATTCTTGGGCTTTTAGCATATTTTGACGGTCCGTCAAAAATAATTACAGGCGTAAGCCAAATATATAAAAAAAAAAAAAAAANTGGGGGCGGCTATATTATATTAAAATCCCAAATGTTTTTCTTTCTAAAATATTTCATACCAAAATACTTGTATTTATAATTCTATAAAGGATAATTTAAGGGATAAAATCAAATATTAATGTCAAAAGTATACTCTATGGGGTCGTTTGGTTTGAAGACAAGTTATGTTAGGATTAGTTAAGGATTAATTATGTTGGGATTAGTTATTCTAGTATTATTTCTTATTAACTGTTTGATATGTTGTATTAATCCTAGAATTATTAATTTTACTATTTTATCCTGGGATAACTTATCCTAGGATTATTATTCCATCATCTAGAAGGTATAAGTTATCTCGATACTATTTTTAATCATGGGATAATGTATCCCATGATTAATAACCAAACAAGGTATAAAGCGGTATTAATTTTTCACCCATAATTATTTTTGTGTATCCATCGTACCAAACGACCTCTAATTGTGTGTCATACTTATAAGCTCAATTTACAAATTAAATTTAACACGCTAACAATTCAATTAACTAGTATGAACAAACATTGCAACAGAATAATAAATCTTTTTTCAATCATTTTTTTAGTCCATCTTTGATTTTGATTTCTATTAGAGCTGTCAAACGGGCTAGTCTAGCCCAGCCCAAAGACTCGTGGGCTTTTTAAATTTAGTGTGCTAGGATGGGTCGGCCCGTCATATGAATGGGCCTTAAAATTACAAGCCCAACCCAACCCTAAGAAGGCCGCGGGATAGGGCGGGCCATCCCTTCAATTTTTTTTAAGAAAAAAAATTTCTTTAAATCCTTAAATATTTTTTCGTGACATAGTCGATTAATCATGTAAACAACTTCTATTTGTTTATAGCGTACAAAAAACTTGATATTTGACGAGGAATCTCGTAATTGAAATGCAAATTCTCTATATCTCTAACTCTTCTTTTTTAAAGTTACATGAATATTTTCTTAATACTTTTCTTTCATTTTCCTCATATTCAGGGATTGCTTCAATAAATTTATATACCGAGATTTTTTAATTTAGGATTAACATCATTTGTTGATTTCATCATTATAGTCCATAAAATTTTTAAAATTTTTGAAATTTGCTAGTGGTCAATTTTTTTTTTGTATTTAAAATTGATCTTTTTCTATACTGAAGAGCAGTTTAAATATTAATAATATATTAAAGTAATCCAAACTGATCATTGGCCACTTAAAATAATTTTTTCTTTTGAAAAAAGATTATTATTGGCCACCTTAAACTTTTCGAGTTCGTTATTAATTAAGGAAAAGAAAAATTAATTTTATCATATTACATACATGTGAGAGATCTAAATTGTAGTTGATATGGAAGAGTAAATGAGCAATCTAGGGTTGAGAAATGGGGACTATAGTTAATAGTTTTTTTAGTTTTTACTTTTTTAAATATTAAATATTAATTATTTAATAGTTAATTAATTTGAATTTAATTAATTTTTGGCCCACGGGCCGGCTCAGGCCCAGCCTCGATCAAGCCTCAAGGGCCAACGGGCTGATTTGGACCGGACTTATAAGCCTCAATTTTAAATGGGCTAAAAAAATTCTAGCTCAACTCTACTCAAGTAGCGGGCTGGGTTGGGCTGGTCTCACGGGCCCAGCCGAACCCATAAAACCTTATTTTATTTCAGTAAAATTAAAATGATGTCTTAGTTATTAAAATAAAAACATTAGTTTAGATAATTTTAACTGAAATCTTAGTTATAAGCTATGGAAATTAATTCCTTTCAATTAGATAACAAGTCCATAAATATTTTTGTTAAAAACTTTGGCTTGTTAACTAGCTTGGTTATTTGAAATGGAAGGGTAATATTCAAATTGGAAAAATCTCTTCCTGTTCCTTCTGATTTAGAATGGTATTATTATGTCAACTTTCAAGTAGAAATGGCATGGATGGCCATTTTATATCATTCTATTTAAAGTTTAGCCAATTTTTTAAATTTAGTGTAAAAAACTTAATGTTAAAGAAAATATTCAAAAGACCTTTTTATCATGTATTCTTCAATCTCTTTTCTTTTCCAAATTCCTGAACACTCCCTCATCACTACTATGGCTTTGATCCAAGCATATNTTCCAAATTCCTGAACACTCTCTCATCACTCTTATCTAAAATACGGATTTCACAACCTTAGATTGACGACTATGGCTTTGATTCCAAGCATATCTTATACTCCCACCCAACCCAAGCAAACTAAATACGTAAAGAAGACATTGGGGAAAAGGACAATAAATGATTAAAAACAGAAATTACTTTCCATTGGCCTTTTACTTGTGAAAGTTTGAACTTTTACGTATTGTGTTGGAGTTTCATTTGTAGTGAATTTGCTGAAATCTTACTTGTAAAAGATTTAAAGTTTTTCGTGTTTTTGATGGGGTATTTAATAATAACTTTGACTAAATATTGATTAGTTTTGAGATGGTACTTAATTTTTATTGAGAAATATATATTTTTAGCCGCTCCTAATAATAAAAGCTTATATATATATATATATTTGGCTAGCAAAGTATTTTGCCCTTTTTATTAGCGGTGTAAAAAGGGGCTATTTGCCCATTTCTTTCAGGCCTGATTAGTCCATGCCCGCTTCAATAATTGATGGGCCGGTTCGTGGGCTTAAAATCGTCACAGAGTTAATATATAAAATCGGCCAATCCAGCTCATTTGTCAGGTTTAGTACGCATTACGATTGTAGTACTTGCGAATGAGCACGGGGCTTAGGCAGGTTCGCAAATGCGAACCTTTGATTGCATTTGTGATGTTTTTGTCACAATTGCGACTAAAGCATGCTGGGGACATAGTTCGCATTTGCGGTGCTCGCAATTGCGGCATCCGAAGCTGGATAAAAGAGGAGAAAATCTTGACTTAGCTCATTTTACACCATTTCTTAACCCTAAACACTCTAGAGGCAATTTTTCAAGAGATCTTTCTTCCCAAATTCATTGGTAAACAACTTTAATCAATTTTCTTTCAATTACCCAATACTTTTCATGTGTTTTCAACATCAAATCTAGGATTTTCACGGTAAAAATTACGGATATGGGTGGAAATTGGGGATTTTATAAAATTGAGATTTAGACCTCAAATTGAGGTCGCATTTCGAAATAAATCACATAACCGGCCTCGGGGGAGAATGGGTAATCGGATTTTAGTCCAAATCTCGAATTTTGACCAAGCGGGCCCGAGGTTGACTTATGTTGACTTTTTATAAATTCATTAAAGATTGAACCTTTTTCCTTCGTAAGTAGTTTCTAAAACTTATTTTGAATTGTTTGATAGATAATTGGTTAGATTTTGTTGGTTTGGAGGCTTGTTCAAAAGGCAAGGTCTTGGTTGGTTTATTTACTTGGTTGTGGAGTGAGGTAAGTGTCGTGGTTAACCTTGACTTGAATTAGGACTTGTTGGTCTATTTGTTATGTGAATTATGTGCGGGAAAGACGTATATGTAAGGTGACGAGTATATATACGTCGTCATTGGGTTAAAGCATGCAGGTGGAAATTATTTTATTGTATTATGTTGTTTCCATGACTATGCTTTCCATGTTGTAGTTAGATTATTACTTATTTAGTTATCCGCCTTCATATCTATTGTTTACTTTGAAGTTGTGGGGACTTTGAAAGTTTAGTTGAGTTATCATTACACTATGATTGAAGTGGAATTACTTCCCACCTTGTTTTGCTATTTTGGATTAGTGTTGTTTCTTGGTGATTAAGAGTAAAAAGTACGGAGGGTGTTGCCGTACCTTATTTGCGTACAATATCATTTGCTTGAGAGATTGTGAGGATTAAAGCACGAAGGGTGATGCTGTGTGTCGCACCCCGTTTTTCTCTCGAATGCGGGTTTCGACATGTGACAACTCTTTTAACGGAGGGTATTAAAAGAGGAGAGTCGCCACCTAATGGATAAGGTGCGTTAGGGCACCTATTTGCATATGACTCGGGTTTGACTAGTTTGCATCACCAGATATCGGGTAAGGGCTCGAAATTACCTCGAAGAGAAGGTGTTAGGCACTTTTCGAGGTCCACAATTATGGGTGCTGGCTGAACTTTAATTATATGAATTAGTCGGATAAATAAAGGCAGATAAAGCCAGAAGTTTGAGAAATTTTATTATTAAAAGGCTTTGAGGAAATACAAACACTTGATTCAAATGTAAAAGGGGAATAAGATGGGGGTCCTAAGTTTTTTAGCCTAAAGGATCACCCCGTGTAACATAAATAATACTTCGTAACTCCCTCAAGATGGAGTGTTACTCATATTATTCATCGGGCACAGACTATCATCTCCTGCTACCCGATTACTATCTTTAAGTTATTACCTAAATGCACTAGTTGATTCTAAATTGTGCCTTATGCGTGCACTACCCCGTCCCATGCCTATGGTACATGAGGCATTTGGACCTCTATTTGGATGGTTCTGGACTTTACTTAGGTTGCTCAAAATGATAAATCTAAGCGACACTCAAAACAAATAGGACTGCACTTAAGGACAGTTAAAGGCTCAAGTTAACCTCTGCAATTAGACAACAAATGCACGCAAACAGATTTCTACGTTAGGCATTAGACAGTTTCAGAATTGAGGAAGATTGAAGTCATTAAGCTCTATAGACATGGTTTCTATATGATCTGATCCAAATATGCAAGCAGTTTCAGATGTAGGGCGCCACTTTAGACCTATGATTTCTAAATTATCAGTTTGAGAGTATCTGATATTGCTAAGTTATTTATTGAGATTACATATTATAAGTTAATAAAACCTATATGCATGATCTCTAAGTGGTTTACACAGTAAAGGACAATACAAATTATTGAAAATGCTCAGAAT